TAATAGATCATATTTGTTGTGATACACTCATGATGGCTTAGTTTCCCCCGCTGTGAAGTTCATAAGGTGGAAATTTTTCGGAGAACTTCGATTTTGTGGTTGTTTTTGGACCTTTCAGAAATGAAATGTGGCTGGAACCATGGGTAGAAGACCTTATGGGCTTCTCCCTTGTCATTATGATGGGGATATTTTCATTCTGAATCAGTAATTCTTTGCGTAATGTTTTTTTTGAGTCGAGGTGTTTGGAGAGTTAATTGAAGCGCTGTCATTGTTTATTGTTTACTTATACGTTGCCTAGCGTTATAAATAATGTAATAATCACAGAAAATAAAAAAAATCGATGTTAGCCGAAGTTAGTCATTTGCTTATCAAACTTAAATTGAACACCAATTACATAAGTGTCAGTTCAAGGCAGTTATTTTCTACTTCAATCTGATTTCACGCCCTTATCATCGATGAAGCCCCTTTGAGAGGGGATATTGATAAAGCCGCTGAGTTGTTATTCGTAAATCCGGCCCAATTTACTAATTACTTACTAGTTCTCCTTGCTTTTAGAGTGATTCGGCCTATGCTGGAGTGGAATTCCAAGTGGTAATTACTTCACCTTCGGAATCAACTTCAAAGGCTGATATTGATGAAAAGGGACATGAGAGTAAGTTGTTGTTATCTCATCTTTTGTATGGATTCATGGAGTTTTTGGGCTCATTTTTTTCTATATTATTCAATTTTCAAGCAGCTTCGACTTCCGGAATAATGAAGCGACGTCAGGATCCTAATGAGAAAAGGCATCTTCTTCATCCAGACGATGAGGTTTTTGAAGAGGGCTTAGTGGTACGCTCATTACTACCATCTTTTCTTTACTCAATTACTACCATCTTTCGTATTTTTTGTGCCCCTGCCATGAAATTAATTTGGTGTTAACTTAGTTGAGCGGGGCCGTGCAGCAGCGCGCTGACATCCCTTTCCAAGGCGTTCAGCATAGGAGAGCGGCAGCAGCACAAGATTCGGCGCCGGCGATGGGTCGGCGAGTGGGACTTACCTTTCGACTGCAAGCTGATATTGAAAGCAGGAAATTGTCACGTTGGATCTAACTTTGTAGGACTGCACAATGTTTCTCTTAAAATGTCCCTCCCTGTCTTTTCCAAGGTTATTAGGGGCCTACGACCAGCATTAGTAGCATAATAGTGTGCGGAGGTTCCTATGCGGTCCGAAGCTAGTTTAGATATTCTGTTCGGATTGTTCTGCCCGTAGCTCTTTCAGTTTTCCTCAGCCTTTCGGAAATCCCCTCCCCATGCCTTTATTCCAAATCACGTTTGCGCTCCGTTGAAACCAAGACCTCAGAATTGATGTAGTGCTAGGTTGGTTGTAACTGGGAATCCGTTCCAGAAGTTCTACATCGTCGCCGCATAATAGTGCGCATTTGAGGTCCATACGATAACATGGGGGGGCGGGGGGTGTTAAAATGATTTCTCGAATAAATGCACAGTCTCTGATGTCACGTGATAGGTCACGAGGTCTGCCATTTCCATTAATTATCCCAAAATATCCCTTCAACTCTTTAAGGTAGTTAAGTCGTGCATCTTTCCCGAGATAATCTACTGCCCCAACACACTCTCTGTTCCCTTACTGTCCAGTTCCTTAGAAACCATTTCCAGTTCCAGCTCGAGCCACTTCCTCCTATAAATCCTGATCGAAAATCCCGTCGTCGTGATGAGGATGATGCATTTCCTGAAGAAGAACCAAAGAAACGAAGAAGACGTGGAAGACGCCGTTCGGGTATGTTCCGTTTACATCAGTTAGCATGTTTCGTTCCATCCGTTTCTTGAAATTTCATTTATATTTGGGAATTTTCCGCACTGTTAACCCTTTACTGCTCCACCCTTCGCAGGTGAGATTTTGATTTTGTGATTTATTTGGCCATTTTGTTCACATGAGGAATTTGACCTCGAAACAAGAGTGTCACATCCGCTTATAGCGAAAGTTTCTGGCGTCCATACCATGGACGCCAACGCCACTATAGTTCTAGCGCTGGAAATCATAGCGCACGTATCAAAAGTTTTGACGCCAGGCTAATGCGATATTCGTGTTCAGCGGGTCGGAATACCCCAGGGGACAGGTATTCACCAAATTCAGTGTTCCGTGGTGTTTCTGCGAGAGTGCCGGGCAGCTTTGAGCAAAGCAGACGCGATATCCCTGTTTATACGTTCAAACCACCCAGGAAATGAAATTCTAGTCAAAGCTGCACATGGGAAAGAAATTCGATCAGAATGGCCGGATCTTCAAAGAGTGGAGCAGTAAAGAGGAAGAGGGGTCAAGTTTTCTTTGCTTAGCTTGCAGTTCCAACTCCAAAGCATTATAGGCAGCGTTCAGACTTCGCGACGGCAGCGCTTCGGTCGCAGTCGAAAGTGTGCGCATCGATCGTCTCGAACGCGCGACCGAAGCGCTGCCGTCGCGAAGTCTGAACGCTGCCATACCGATTACTGGCAGAGTTTACTATGCGGTCTGAAACGAGTTTCCTTCTGAGAGCTCTCGGAATTTTTTCATTTTTCCTTAACTTTTCGTAAATTCTTTGTTTTATCAGCCTTGTCTCAAAGTTGCGATTCGGAGTTTCACCATGTAACAATGGTGCCTCTGTGGGAGAAGAGAAACAGACAATCTAACTTTTCAGGGGTGTTTTCTACAAAATATTTGTTTCCTTGCATTTTTTCATACGAGCGCCCCCGTTTCAAGTTTAAGGGAGTCTTTCGAGAAGGCTACCAGTGACATCACGTAGTCATTCTGCTATTGCCAAGGCTGTTAGTGCTGGATCCGCTTGAATGCCATCATTAGCACCTTTGCATAGACTCTGTGTGGACTGACTGTTTCTTGGCTTTTCTTCGTTTCTTTATTTCGTGAAAAATTTCGCAGTTTTCATCAGTTGAAACTATTTTTCTTTTGATCGAAGTGTGCAATTATTTCTGTTTTTAAATAGATTCGGTCAGCAACCAAACCCACTGCAACACTGTTTGGATTCAGTAGCTCTCAAAAGCAGCAGAAGACAGGACGTGCACAGGTCTCGGCAGTCAGTAGCGACCTACAAGTACATTAGCAGTCGAAAAAGCACTCCACAGATTGACACAGTGACGTAGAATCAGAAGCGATGAATTTATCCGGACGATATTTCTCGGTACGCAGAAATGCAACAGCTCTCCTTATGCTTGTTGATGTTCTTATCGCACAAGTAATCTCTAACAGCATCATTCGACAGGTGATATCTGTCCTTCGAGCTGGAGCTCTACTTTTTTACATAACTTGCTGAAGTTCACTCTGCACGGGTTCACATTGTGCATTGCGTCCATTTTCCTGAAGAATCTACGTATTATAGTACAAACAAGCTGAGATAATCTGATCAGTGCACGGTCAATGGCATCATTTTCTGAAGCATTTGATAAAAAGGACAATTTAGTCGGGTGTGCCTATTGCTGGCGCAGCTCGGAGAACCAACTTTCGACCTCTCAGATGCTCTACTTAATGACTAATTATACACTATAACCTAACTTTCAAGCAGTATGAGAACAGTGCTTGCTGTATGCTGCGCCAGCAACAAAGGGTATGGACTATCCGGACGAGTTGTCCGGATAGTCCATCTCTTCGGTTTCCGTTAGAGGACGGACGGCATGCTGTCAAACCGACGCATCAAGAAACTGATTTGTGTATATGAGTGGTAATCAACAGTTCCAAAGGCGTGATTACCCGATGGGTAGTACTTCCTCGTTGTACAGGTAGTCCGGTGCGCTATTTCACGGGCTGTCCCCACGGGATAGGTCAGCGTTCCTACAACCGAGGAAGAGAGTGACGCGTTGCGATTATTCTTTGTGACCTCTCTTGTCTTCCGGCTCGTCTTCCTGTTCTCTCGTTCTATGCCCTTGGTCGTTCAGAGGTGTATCGCCATGTCGAGTACTCTTCCAGTACTGGAGCCTTATTTAGGGCGTTATTGATGGATTTGCCCACACTTTTCCACTTTATGTTTAAGCCCCAAAGCCCAAGAACTGTTGTCGAGCAGTGTGTATAGGCAGGATAGGGAGAAAGAAAACAAATGAAAAGATGCAGTGAGTCTTCAAGCCAAGAAGGTTTGACGCTGATTCACATTAGTCTTTTTCATGAATGAAAGAGGCTAATGTAATGTGCCAGAGTTCAAAATTACAGTTACAGCGCTGCACCGTTTCCCAAAACACGTATGACTGTTCAGCCCAGCCCTCTGAATTTCATCCCTGATAGCTGTCTATCTAGATCATTTCCAGTTGATCTTGATTTGACCACTGTGATTTACCGTCCTTCTTCAGACTTTTACCGTAGCCCATTAACGAAAGTTTTCTGTATTTTGGAAGCTTTTCAAACCATGTGAGGGTACTGTAGAGACACGGGGTCAGACTGGAATCGGGGAAATCTTGGGGCTGTTGAATTCTGTCCGTAAGCATTTCGCATTTTC